CATGAGATGTATATAAACTTTTAAAAAAAGATATATTTTTGAAGATAAACCTGAATAACTCATGTCTACTATGGTTGATGAGTTAGTTGAGCAAATTGATAAAGGAATTTTTGATAAATTACCTGTTGATATTATTTTTATGATGAATGATCAAATTGAAATTAATTTTATTTTTAGTTCTTATTTCCTTGAATTATAAATTCATTAAAACAACTCTTTGAAAAGTTGTATTAGCTATTCAGAAATTTGTTATTAATCAATTCCTTAGAAGAAATCTAAAATTTAAAAATCCATTTATATAGTCTAAACCAAATATATATAATTCATCACAACTGATATTTAACATATTAGGATTAATTTTCTTTGAAGAGAGTGCTCATCTATATAAGCATGTCATATTATGTAATTTAGCTATTTTTAAGTTTCCTTATCACTCATCCTCTAGGAATTAGTTAGAGTATCATTATTATTAAGATACTTAGTATTTACATTACTTTTCTCATATCAGTTAGTTATTGCATGATTTATTTGATTTGCAAAGTATTTGCATAAATTTGATCATTAATTTTGGCAATGATCAATTTACTGTTGATGCAAATAAGAGGTATGTAAAATTCAAATAAGGTGATATAATAATAGTAAGTTAAATTGCTGAAAAAGGTTTCTTACATGAGCTGTTAAGAAATTAACTGCTAGAAGAATTTTTTAATGCATTAGGACAAATGCTTAAAAATTAAAAATTATAAAAAGTATTATTATCAGTCAAATCTTCAAATTTCATGAACTTGCCACCAATATCTTGGATTCTTCTTATTTTTTACTTGTGAATTCACATGCATCATTTTTCCAGATAGTTTTATACATTCTGTGAAAAGTAAATATTAGATGATGTGATTGTGTCCACTACATGTGAGAAATAGTAGAGATATCTTGTGGATTTATGTGACATATATGCATGTGATATTCATAGATTATATTCTAAAAGAAGCGCATGAGTTAATTTGTAGATTTGCTTGATGAATGCCAGGTGGTTAATTTTTCAGGGCCGATCTTTTTTTAATTTAGGCAAATTTGATGCAAATTGGCAATAAAAAATTTGATTTTACTTTCATTTTAGTAGTTTTTTTTTTTATTTTATTTTAAATCAGTTTTTACTATAAACATGGCTATGATGATATCCAGAGAAAGAACGAGTTTTATTCTCTAATATCTGTGTTGATTTTGTGCACTATGCCGGTTTGAGTAGGTTCAGCCGCTGCTACTATTTTGGCTTTCAATTAGGCTGATTGTTAGTTCTCTGGTTTCGATCATTTGGCTTAGCAATTAGGCTGTGAGGTGATTCTCTGGTAAATTTCTGTTTCTTACTAAACGAGCTTAATTTTCCTGAGTTGTAATTTTTGGACTTGAAATTGGTACATGAATTTGGTATTATGGTTTCTGATGAACGTGGAATTAGAGGAGATTTGAGGCTTATAAAATTATTGTTTTTGATAATTTCTTGAGTTTTCTATTTCCTCTTTTGTGATTGAGTGCTAGTTACATGTTGATCTTTTTAGTGTGGTGCTGCAACTATAATTTTTTTTAGAGAGTTTCATGCTTGTGCTGTATGAGGCATGGCTTTTTTCCTTAATCTGTTTCAACTCTGTAGAATTTATGATTGGCTTGCTTGGTGATTAAATATTTTCAAGTCTTGTTGTACAATTTGAATTTTTCAATTGATGCGTAATTTTTCTATCTGCTTATTATTATCATTGCACATAAATTTCTATATTAAATTTCTCTTTGGGTGACAATTAAATTATCAATTGGAAGGAAATTTGCATGCTTTCTAATTTTTAGTTAAAGTGATGAATTCTTATCTAAATTTAAAGTTTGTGAACTATGAATTTAGTCTTGCTTGCATGATCTTATGTGTATCGTCCTATATTTACATTAGAAATCCTACAACCAAAATTTTCTTGCATCATTTGAGTCGTGAGCTACTAATGAGTTGTTTTAAATATGATCAATCTGATTTTTTTGTAAGGCTTAATGACTCATTCTCGCCTCTCTTAACATGTCATTTAAAAAAAAATCTTGAAATGCAAGCGTTTACTCCAGAAAACACTTGGGTTAGGGTTAGATAATACAAGGATGGAGCATTTTTCTTACGTGAAATCTTTGCTTAACTAAACCTGTATTTCTGTATTGAATTGCGAATGAAGAAAAGTAATAAAGCCAAGACAAAAATATTAAGGGTCAGTTCTTTTTGATGAAATTGTTTGTAAGTGATTGGGGGCTTTGTTTCGAAACTGAATTTTCTTGAAATTGAGTTTTAAGCTTCGTTTGAGACAGCTTTTTTGTTACTTTATAAAACTATTTTTTAGTACAATAAATTTTTGTACTAGAAAGTTGTTTTAGAAAGCAACAAAGAAGATGCCCTAAATGAAACCTTAATGATGTTTTTGTTTTGCATGAACTCTGTTCTTTTAAAATCCATTATGATATTTGGACTATGAAGAGTTGTATTTTAACACATCCCTGGTTAATGATTTTGTTAGACCGGTCCACTGGACCACTATTTTGGCTTTCAATTAGGCTGATTGTTAGTTCTTTGGTTTCGATCATTTGGCTTAGCAATTAGGCTGTGAGGTGATTCTCTGGAAATTTTCTGTTTCTTACTAAATGAGCCTAATTTTGCTGAGTTGTAATTTTTGGACTTGAAATTGGTCCATGAATTTGGTATTATGGTCTCTGATGAACGTTGCTTTAGCTATTATTTCAGTCCTATGCATAATCTGTATCTATGATGCAATTTTTTTGTCTTGGCCTTGCTGTTTTGCATACCAGGGTTTAGCTATTAGCGACTGCTTTTGAATTTCCTGAATTCTTTATTATGGGATAAGTTTGCGCTACCTGTGAATAATTGGATTGGATGCTGTAGTAATACTGAGATTTCAAATGTATTTGGGAATAGGGGTTGCCGACTTAATTCAAGTTTTTTTTTTTATTTTTTTTTTATTTTTTATTTTATTTAGAGAAGGGATTTTATGATTATAAATTAGAGAAGATTTTAGGCTTAGAAAATTATTGTTTTTGATAATTTCTTGAGTTTTCTATTTCCTCTTTTGTGGTTGAGTGCTAGTTACATGTTGATCTTTTTAGTGTGATGCAGCAACTATAAATTTTTTTGAAGGTGTTACATGCTTGTGCTGTATGAACTATGAGGCATGGCTTCTTTCCTTAATCTGTTTCTACTCTGTAGAATTTATGAGTGGCTTGCTTGGTGATTAAATATTTTCAAATCTTTTTGTACAATTTGAAATTTTCAATTGATGCGTAATTTTTCTATCTGCTTATTATTGTCATTGCTTATTCATTTCTATATAAAATTTCTCTGTGGGTGACAATTAAATTATCAATTGGAAGGAAATTTGCATGTTTTGTAATTTTTAGTTAAAGTGATGAATTCTTATCTAAATTAAAAGTTTGTGGACTATGAATTTAGCCCTTGCATGCATGATCTTATGCGTCTCGTCCTAAATTTACATTAGAAATCCTACAACCAAAATTTTCTTGCATAATTTGAGTCGTGAACTTCTAATGAGTTGTTTTAAATATGATCAATCTGATTTTTTCGTAAGGCTTAATGACTCATTCTCGCCTCTCTTAACATGTCATTTTAAAAAACAATCTTGAAATGCAGGCGTTTACTCTTCGAGAAAGCACTTGGGTTAGAGTTAGATAATACACGGATGGAGCATTTTTCTTAGATGAAATTTTTGCTTAACTAAACCTGTATTTCTGTAGTGAATTGCGAATGAAGAAAAGTAATAAAGCGAAGAAAAAATTATTAAGGGCCAGTTCTTTTTGACGAAATTGTTTGGAAGTGATTGGGGGCTTTGTTTTGAAACTGAATTATCTTGAGAGTTTTAATGTTGTTTGTGTTTTGCTTGAACTCTCTTGTTTCAAAATCCATTGTGATATTTGGACTATGAAGAGTTGTATTTTAACACATCCCTGGTTAATGATTTATATTGTTCTATTACTATTAAGTTAAAAGTAATTATCCTTCCATTATCTTTATGGTTTTATTACTATTGTATTAAAAAAGTAAACCTGATTTTCAATCTTTCTTCTCACCATTATGAAGGTGAGTTATAACAATTCAGACCGACTTTCATAACCATTCCAATGAAAAAAATTCTTGGTTCCAAAACCGAGTTCCTGCCACTTCAAATCACTGAAGTCAAATTGAATTGACTCATATTTTTATCCTAAATCTCGTAGGCAATTTTGTAGCATTTTATTTATTTTTTGAGCTTTTTCATCAAGTGTTCATCTTAAACCAAAGTTATGTAGCCCCCCC